ATAATAACTAAATAAAAATATCTTGGATGCATAGCACAACTACATAAATTCTGCCCCTTAAACTGTTGTACGTTTAATGGGCAGAAATCATGGCAGGCAATCAACCAACTCTTTCATAAAACTTTCGTTCATCAATACTTTAGTATTAAATTCACTTGCTTGTCAGGATACACCGAATTGTGAGTTCTGTACAAAACATTCTCAGAGTTCAGCGTATCCTAACAAAACTAACTAGTTCGTATATTAAATCTGACCAAAGTATTTCACTTTGAATTTTATGTTCCTAACTTACCTACATAAAAGAACTATCGTATTTATTCTAAGAAATAAATTAAGTCTCATTCACACACTGATTCTCATCATGGCATTTAATAGGGCCATCGTTTACATATCACTTTTCAAACGAAACAAAACCATAACTCCTATTTCTACCATTTTATTAAACAATAAGCCCAGGTTCTCATTCTTGTTTAACAATCCTTCTTTTTAACTTATCCTTTTTAACCTACCTTATAAAAGTAAATATAAAATACATTCATCAATCCACTTTTACACAGCATGATACGTAATACAATATCAGCCAATCATATCAACCAATCGAGCTTTCATGCCAAAATGAAACCTAAAGCTACACACTACTGTAAACCACAATGAGTTCGGTTTTGCTCTTAATACATACTTACTCATAAAGTCTAAAATACGTTACACCTAATTTATGTACAATATGCATTCGTCAAATCTTTTATACGTTATCATTTTTTCGTCACCTTACTTTCATTCTCTTAAATAAGTAGCTCGTTTTATGTTTTTTACTTATCCTACTTATACCTACTTATGCCTATTAGCTTTTACCCTTTTACCCACCGTGTCAGACTTGTATTGCAGTCTCCTAAAATTACTTTGTTAACCCTAGCTTACGATCCTAACGTGATTCACTGGTCGTCATGTCCTTTGGATGAAAAAGATCTTAAGTCATCCACTCTAAAATTTTATTTAGAGTATGGTATCGCAGCCATGTGTAAGTCTATTTTCGAAGAATTATTTTGCAAATGCTTTATTTTATTCCACAAATAATTAATGAACTAAAAGAATTTTGTATTACTATGTTTGGACCGGCCGAAATTTTGAGTAATTTATTCAGAAATGTATACATAATTTTGATTATTAAATTTATAAAATGCACATGGCACGAGCTAGTCGTATCCGAATAGCGTTCGATTATATGAAACGCTTTAATTGATAGCCACTAAAGGCTATATGATCGAAAAAGTCGTAATCCGTGTGTCGGTATGGTATACTGATCTTCGTATTTGCATTAAATTGAAACAGTACGAAGGGATTCAATATTTTCGTACGTACTCCATACCGTATTAGTTATTACCAAATGTGGTGGTAATCAGTACATCACTATCCTTACCCTAATTGCTTAACCTACAGTGAGGAGACTCTCATTTGGCTACGACTCACTGAAATAAAACAGCTACGGGAAACTTACATCTACAGAGTGATTGCAATTTACCGAACATACCAACGTATTAGATTTCATGCCTTAATCAAAAAAATATAAATATAATCTCTCTTACAACTATCATAGATCTCGGTATTGCTCGTCTATGAACGCACGCGTTTGAAAATCATAGTTTCTCGAAATCAAATACTTAAAATTATAATAACAAAGCATTCACTTATTCTTTATAAACGAATTTCCTATTGTTTACGGTAATACGTTAGGGGGATCAGTATCGAAATGGTAATGAGTATTAATGAACGAGTTGTCGAAGATATGGAAACATAAATCCACGGCGTGCTTAAAGAGAATAGTCAGAGCAAAGCTTAAAGCAGATTCTATAAAGAAAAATAAATTTAATATTTTTCAAAGACCAAGTCAGCTAAACTCGTTAAAAGACATACAACCCCTTCATTAACACGCATCAAAAATGTGATTTTAGATGAGATTGGGCAAGCTAAATCAAAATATTGCAAACTGCTTCAAATCAAACAAACAAACTCTAACTACTTACATCTAATTAATCCTATAAAATCATACCTAATACCAAAGAAACTAAAGACCGGGTAAAAATAAAGGGTACGGAAATAATAAGAGAGTGTTTCAATGTACTAGCTACATTAAACACGGTGTTCCTAACTAACTTACCTGTAAGTATACTAATTATAATTAACTAAAGCTAATTTATCCTAACCAACGAATTAAAATCTACCTCCTACGAAAGCAGATCCGTCTTCAACACTGATCCCTGTAAAATTATACTTTCTGCACCTCTCTGTCTCGACACTAGCTCATATCAAGGGGAATACAAGAAGACACATACAACTTAATAGTTAATTGAAGGAACAGCAAGCACCCCCATTCATCGAAGTATGTAAACACATTAGGTTTATGTAAGCGAACCCTCTTGCAGGATGTCAGCAGAATCGGGCACCTTTAAGGTACCCTGGAGTGCGGGACGAGAGAATTAAACTAGTGCAAACTAGACGATAACAGTTTCCCAAAACGGTTCGCACCAAGTACGCATTATTATGTGGTACTACTTCCAGATGGCGTTCAGGAGACATACAGCGCGGCGCAGCTCTGATTGGTGACCTAGATGATATTAATAAGTGGGCGTACAAGCGTTTGAAAAGTTCCGCACCGAAAGACCAAAACTTAGCCTACACTATTTGGTATGTTGCAATGTCTTAATTAAAGTCTAGTCGCAATGTAGCCAGTTTTAATTTTTTTTACAAAATCTACCTAACTGTACTTATAGAAACTATTTATTTGATGTCAAAGCCCGCGAGATGTTTTGCGGCTCAACTCTGACAGCCATTCGGTGTGTTTTACTACCAGGACTAAAACGCCTTTTCTATGCAAAAAATGTTATATTTATTCACAACCCAAGGAGTTTCTTAATACAATCTAAGTTCGAAAACCAATCAGTTTTTCTGGGTGTTTGTTTTACCTACTAGAGCTCAATGGTACGGAACTTTTATCTAAGAGTTCTTAGGTTTTTATTTGGTAGTTATTAGATAAATAGCGTAGTCTTACCATAACTAACCAATAGTCCGTTTATAGATGAAATGTATCAAAAATGGTCATTAAAATAAGCAACCGCTTGGCAAAGAGGACAGTTTTAATTCTATATGATGGTAAGCTTGCTACACAGCGCCGTATGTTCAACCCTCATACGCCAAACAGTCTTAGGAAGTGAAATCGTGAATGGAATTTTTCACGAGGAATAATTTTGTTATTTGACCTAATCTTTTAAATGTGTTACAAAAGGTACTTTATTAGTGTGCAGTGCTTAATTAAAGAGTTATAATACATATGTATCGTGATCAATGCAAAGTGTGATGCTGCTGTCGATGAATTTGGGGCGAAGTGAAGGGGTATTAGTAGTTCTTATATTAGTTACATGCATGTTAAACGGTTGCGTTAAATACTGTGACACTGAAACATCAATTTTTATGCTTTTGTTTACGACTATCAGATATAATCATGGGACCACATGGCAAGACCTGATACTAGAATAATTGTAAGTAATTCGGCATTTGTAGACCTTGTGACCTAAGATCACGTGCCGCATCCGAAAATATTGAGTTTCAAGCAAAAATAGAAAAATCTCCTTTCAATTTTATTTGACTCCCTCTGGTCGCAACACGACCGTGGTCTCGCTACTAAAATACATACTATCTCACTTTCTCTCTCTCTCTAAAATTCGCTTTGTTACATCGATATTTACGGAGGCAGAGTGATTCCAACCTATATCATGTGCCAGTTACCAAGAAAACAAGAAGCACAGGGGGCTAATATTGCCCTGGAGGTTTCAATCACCTCCGAAGTATACAACCTTAACATTTAAAACAGGTTAAAAAAATAGGAGTTAGATTTTGGATATACTATGAAGCAGAAGCTGCCTCCGCGCCCCGTAGTGACCCACGAGGAAATTATTTTGCACCCGGGGGATTATATGAACCGGGCACATGTTATATACGCAGTTCCTCATCATGAGTGCTCAACGCCAACGCGCAGTCAGCTTCTGATCCAGAAGACCACTACTACAATGTGCGAAACAACAACAACCCGCAAATTCCAACTCTTAAACTGACAAGTGCTGGTATTAAATAAATACATCACAGTGCTTTGATTAAAATACAAGTGTTTGCGCGCATTGAAGTAGTGGTCTGAAGTTAGGGGTTTGCCGTAGAGGCGGTGATAGTGGAAGATCATGGGAGCGCTAGGCGAAGGGCGCTGGGTATAGCGTGAAAAATTACGCAGTGACGACGCCCCTACCAACATTACTATGCGGGGATACATTGATTAAATCGTATTGATTAAATGACTAGCATAAATGCAAACAATAATATTGGTAGTCACTTCGGTACCTTCGCTACAAATAAATTTCTGTTTCGCGTTGCAATTCTCAGTTTCGCCAGTATCCTAAACGCAGAATTGAAAATACTACAAAGGTGTTCGTTCCTACCTTAAGCGCCAATCAGAAATCTATTCCTAGTTGTAAAACATCGATATCCGATATAAAACATAGGCGCTATCGGTGTTTTTGAGATGTTTGAATACAAGGTATCGCTATCCGCCTACTCATGACCCGGTCACCTATAATGGCCGTGCCACAAATATACGAAAAATTGCAAAGCGGTACGGCATTCAGCACGTACAATCTTAATGTCTAATAAAATGCCTTACATTTAATACTGTTGTAATACTGCAGGTTACACATAGTATAGTCTATGCAGTCTGTGTGAAATATTAATAGGGGAACGACGACTTGGAAGCTGTGGATATGCTACGTGTTCTTAACCTATTAACATGTATATTATCGTATTGAAATTTAAGAAGCTCAGGTATATATTGATGCAATAAATCGAAGAGCAATGCAATCGAACAAAGGGCCATCAAATAAAGAGCAATCGAATATCGGGCCATCGTTTATCGAATCGAATATAGGGCCAACCTGCTAGATTTTGTGAGGAATCGTTGATGATTAACGGTTGTTAGGCGGCTTGTAGCCGTGGGTCATGCGCTCCAGGAAGCGATGAAGGTCATGGAAGCGGGGGCGCTGCATGGGCTCCCGGCGCCAGCATTCGTGCATCAGGTCGTAAAGCTCGCGGCGGCAGCGCGGGGGAGGAGCGGCTGGCACTCGGGCACCACGGCCACCACAACGCCACTCACTGGCATTGGCTACCACCTGTTCACAAAAGATTACGAAAGGGAATGAAGGTGTTGAAATAGGTACATAAAATTGGAGAAAATCACTTCATGAAGTATTTTTTTTTCTAAGTAGCATTGAAAATGAAGAAACTGATATGTTACCTGGTCGTCGGTCATCTCTTCGAATGGTTTTGCCGTGCAGTAAGTAAGGACTTCCCAGACGGTTACACCGAACGACCAAACGTCACTTGCTGGTGAGCACATACCCTGATAAGGAAACGAATGTTTAAAATTAAGTTTTATCTTACTTTGAGTAGAAAAAGTATCGAAAGATAGCTCTTTTATTTATAAATCCTTATGAAACAATTATAATATAATAATAAATTACCATCAATAGGCTTTCCCATGCCATCCATCGGAGTGGTATACGGGATCCATCAGCCATCACGTGGTAGTCGGTAACGAATTCTTCACAAAACATTGCATAGTCAGATACCTTAACATGAAGTTCCTCAGTTACGGTGACATTCCTGTAGAAAAACATTTCTTAGTTATTTATTAGGTTTTTAATGGGTTTGGTGCCCTATCAAGCGAGCAGACGTTTCACACAAACACGAGGAGTTACGTTTGTGTTGCGGGCCTTTTGGTTTTTAAGGATTGGTGGAACGGCGAAACACATCACTATCTTTGTCACGCCGATTTTCGTGCCGTCGTCTAGCTCTTTGACACCATCATCATCATCAGCCTATAAGTGCCCACTGCTGAACGAAGGCATCTTCTCACACGGAGATGGTTTGAGCATTAATCACCACGCTTGCTTAATGCGGGTTGGCGATTTCACACTTATAATTAGAAATTAAAGTCCAGGTTTCCTTACGTTTACGTGTTTACCTTCACCGCATGTCAGTGGTGTCTAAATTATCATAGAAAGTCAGAAAAAGTCACATTGGTACATGTAAGGTTTCGAACCCACACCCTCATTCATGTGAAGCGGGCGAAACCTCGGGGCCACCACGACGATCTCTCTTTCACACGTATGTCTATTTCTATCTACCTTCACTAAAGAAAGCTTAACGATATCTTAAAATATAATGAGTGAAAATGTTGTTCAAGCAAACAATCTAATTTACTTAAAAAAAATTAGGTGTCAAAGATATACATACGAGTAATAATAACAATTCAGAATAAGTGCAGTAGTTCCAGATTACTGGGAAACAACGGTTATAGATTGAATAAATTTTGAATTTTTCATCTTCCTAGTACATTCGGTTTAATACCGGAATCCGCATTGCGGGCGAGGCTTGCTTTTGATATTTTAATTTGTAAAAGGAGCAAAAGGGGGCTCTTTAACTGTATTTATTAAGAGTATCAACTGGGTATATAACTTTTATGTCGTGGTCATTTAAAGTAAAATATCTATAGAATTAATACCTATGATTTCAAAATTAAAATGAGAAATACAAATTTTGTTTTCAATATGCTCCTGGGTTACGATGTTTAGTATACAAAGATCATCAACATAGATACGAAACTTAATTCATATCGACTATTTTTCTTTATAAATAAAATTTATTCTTTATCTACCTAATGAATGCGAAAGTTGGCCTTACATATCTCAAGACATTATAAGAACTACATAAAAACAGGAAAATAAAAATATTTGTTATATATGTATATCGCCAAATTAGAAGCCAATATAAAGCGAAAATAGTTGGGCTTTTTAAGTAAGTAGTAGTTGAGCTTATTAAGTAGGTAGTGATAGGAATAAACGCCTAGTAAGCGAGGGCGAGCAACACTAGCCCTACGCCATTTTAACACGCGCAACTCTAGGTCAGAGCTGTCTGTGTTTTCATGTTAAAAGTAGGTTCATATCAAAGGAAATATAGTACTTACCGAGCTGATAAATCGCGATGTACCAACTCGAATGACTCCAGATACTTCATGCCTGCGGCTATCTGGCAGCATATGTGAATCAAACTCGAGTAACTGCAAAAACACGAGTACGTTAAGTATCCGAGCTTTACATTGTACTTAAATTGTTAAGTACAATGTAAAGCTCGGATACTTGTAAATGTTAAATTAAAACTCACTTCAATTTCCGTTCCGATCGCAAAATCGTGGGCAGGGGGGCGGCATCTCCGCGATCTAGGGCTGCGCATGGTGGTTCGAGCAAGCTCAAGCCTAGCACTCTGGCTAGTTGTGGGTGTTTCAACCCAGCGCCCCATGTAGCCTCGCGAGCAAATGCCGCTCTACAACAAAGCCATCCAATTAAGTATTACCAGTACACACACCAGTGTCGTCTTGAGTTTCTCTAATAACGGCCATCTTAACCATGCATGCATTAAGTTAACTGAGATGTATTGCACGAATCTTTAATCAGTTTCATTCCGTCATAAAAATCCTAACGTGTGTAGCCACCATAAGGAAAGTAAATAAACCTCTACTATCTCTTCACTCTTGTGTAACGACTTCTTGATATGTTATTGTAAAGGTTTGAACTGTTCATGGTTAATTCAATATAACAAAAAAGCTACTTACTTCACTTCGCTATGGCAGCCGCGCCACAGAGTTTTCACAACAACGAGGCGGCGGCGTCCTCCAGTCGGTGACTCCTCGTCGCTCAACTCTTCGATGCCATCGGTCTCGCATATCTGGAGCTGTGGACAAAATCGATACATCAATAACTGAACATAACGTCGCTCAACTACATGGTCAAACTCTTCATTTTTATTCCATGGTGGATAGTAACTGCCAAGGAAATAGTTCTTAAGCTCGTAATATAGTGAAGCAGCGAGCAGAATTTCCTGTATATTTCACAAAAGCCTACTTTGGCCCAGTTTCTAAGTTTACCGAGCGTGGAAAATGGCTTGGCGCCTTGCGGATTTACAGGCCTAGAGAAAACCCTACCTTCCCTTGTTTAGAACGTTGCCGTGGAGGTACGCTTGTTTGATTTCAAATATTTTGCCAACCAAATAAACCTTTATTTGTAGAAGAAATATTTTTGAATGAATTTGTTGAGAGTGGAATGGAATGAAAATTTTACATTTTAAGACGGTCATTGTTACTCTCCCTCAGTGAGTTATTCAAACGCAGATGGCGAAGGAGATAAAAGTGAAGCATTATTATGATTCTGATCACACACGTGTTCCAAACTGTGTTGAACTCCAATGGCTGTGTCATATTTTAAAGTATTTTCTGGGTGAAGTTTAGTGCTATTTGATATAAAATATAAAGGTATGTGATAACCAGTACTCAAGTTAATTGAAAGTGGCTGTTTGTAAGATTGCCACAAGTGAAATTCAATATGTTTCAATTAAAGTTACGAGGCCAATAACAAAAGCCTTGCGGTGAAAGAGTTGCTACCCTTTTCAGACAACAAATCTCTGTAAATCCGGAAACTAATGGAATTAAAGTATTGTTTGTTCAGGTGGCTCGTACGAGGGTGCCGGTAAACAGCCCAGTCTTAAACCAGGCTGGCACAGCGGGCAGCCTGTTATCCTCTAATCAAAACTGAAATAACTTTACAGAATGTTAAAAAATAAAGTATGTTTGGTTTTTATATAAAGGATCACCTTATTTGATGTTACATTAGAGCTTTTAATGGTTTATTGAAAAAATAATAAAGGAGAGAGTCTCGTAGAAACCCCACTATTATTATGGGGAACAAGCCGATGTGGCATTCTTCCCCTAAATTTTGCGGTGAATTATGTTTACATTAGGTCAAGTATTATTGTCCTTGAGAATTGAGGGTACGAGAAAAAAAAGTGCCTAATCTGCTCCCTCGCTGAGAGGGGCGAAAACTAATGTCATTTCATAAATTAGGATGTACTGCGCTGCGTAAAATGTAAAATTGATAATAATGTTTATTTTATCAAAGTGATCATGAAATTTGTAAACAGAATGTAAAATGTGCGGTTTATTGATTGAACTTTGACTAACTATTCTGTTTAGTGCACAGAAATAATTTTATTACAAGTTATTACAAGCCACGAGCAGTCGTCCATCATTTAAAAGTACCACATTTTGTAATTAATTACATGCAAATGAAACTCAGTTTGAATAACTTAAAGCTCGTTTATGCACACAGTAATTATTTTTTAATATCGTTCCATTAACAAAGAGACTGAGTGCTCTGTCTCCCCTTTTATTTTTTAATCTTTCGTTCCATTACCAGGACCAGAATCGATTTTGAATTTTTGTAGCTCAAATTTGAAGCTACAATGAGAATGAGATTTTGAGCAAACTTGTGCTAAAATTAATTTGTTAGTTGAAGAAGTTTTGCCGTTTACAGCGCACTCCGCTGGGCAATTTGAAATTTAATTTGAGTAGCGGTACCGCACACATTGACTAGGTACGTCGTTAATATAATAAAAATATGAAAAATAAACGCCCCAAGCTATTAAACCGTGTTGTTGGAGGGTGGTGAGACCGCCGCCGCCCGTCGGGGGGGACTGAGCCAGATTGCATTTTCTTGCTACGGTCAGTAATCAATTTTTATGGGCATTTTTGTAGACCAACACTCTACGACTCTGTATACGAGTATTACTCGATTGAGTAAGACAAGGACGAGCGACACCGTGTCGCCTCTTTAAAATTGTGTCTTCACTTGCGACGTAAAATTTATGTGTCAATTATAGTGTAAATTTTATAAACAACTGTTTTTATAAAAACCCTCACAGTATCAATGTCGTTGGTTGTATATGAATACCTTTTGTTGCAGTAGATGTATTCTCATAAAAATATGCCTAACGATCATTGGATACCATTTAATGTAGAATGCAAATTAATATTCGAAATTGCTCAACTTTTAGAAAGGTAATTTGGTTTTACCAAAAACTCTGTTTACGTTAACATCAGCACAAAATAATATGATGTAATATTTATAATGGAGCACCGGCCGCATTTGCGGACTAATCTTTACATTGTATTCAGATTAATCATAAATTTATAATGAAGCGATTCGCTTCCCTCATTTTAAGCAGTACCTAAATAAAAAGTTCAACTTGGTACCTACTCAATCAATAAGGTTTGAGCTATAGTGTGAATTGTGTTAGGTATTCACCCATCATCGAACATAGCTTAAGTGATTAGTGCCGACGGCTAATCACTGAAGACAGACACAGCCGAGCTTGGGATAGCCTGGCCTTTAGATAACTACGTATGTTGGTTGGCATAATTTCATTGTACAACGCATATTGTTAGATATACGTACGCCCATGCGGAGAACTGGTCAACTGAGTAAACGGAACCGATTACCCGTTTAGAAGAACCTTCAAATTGATATTTCCTCTATATATTTACTCAGAAACAGATGTGTGTTTTCTTTATGTAAGAGTGAGTATTGTTCTCATAAATATCATAGCACAAGCTAGCCGAAAATAGATAACGAGATAGGTATTAACGAATATACGATATAATACGAAAACTCAATGTCTCTCTATGATAGAAATACAGAGTAAATAGCAATATTATTATTTTATATAGAGCATAGTTGCGAGACGACTATTTAGATGACTATGTACAATGATTTCTATAACGTTTTGGAAGAGAATTGCGAAGAAGGTACAACATAGAATAGATAAAGAGACCAGATGTGAGAAGCTACCGTGAAGACTTAAAAAAGACTAATTAAGAGTAACAAAACCTTTGGACGCAGTTAAAACACACGTAATGCGAAAAGGCCATATCTGAGGGTTTGTGGCAAACGCGGGGCTGTATACAGGTGGCCGCGGTTCACTAATTCACTCTGTTTGTTCGTTCTTAATGAAAATACAACAGGGGTACGCTCTTTTGTTTATTCAACATTCCAGCAGGCAGAGGTGGCGTGTGATGCGCTTGTATACGATTGTGTGCGCCGGTGTGCCTGTGTGGCGACCGACAGCAGTGCGCCATCTCACACAGGACCCTAATTAGATCGGTGGCACTTCTAGTCACGCTACCAACGCATGGAATAACACCAACTATCGCATGGGAACCACCTCCACCTAACTCCGTCTAAACTTTGAAACGTTTATATCCCCCGGTCCGTTGTATCAGCAACTCTATTATTCATGGGTAAACTACCAGACTTCCTAATTTGTTTTTGCTACAATTACCACTAGCCTGAATATTTAAGTTTCGCTGTCGTGTTTGCACGCAAGTGCGTGACCGGAGTCAGGATTCAATATTGACCTGGCAACTTCAGTAGTAGAAAGTAATGGGATTGGTTTTTTAAATATGTATACGCTATTATTGTTCTCGTGTAGATGTTAGTGATAACGAAACAAAGGATAGACTAGACCACCCATTATCTTTTTATACGTAATTCGATAGTTATAATACAATATCGATTCGATACTATCTTACGAACGCAACACAATTTAATAAAATCGATTTATTACATTAAATCAACTTTAGTACACGAAAGTCAAATTAGAATGAGAAAGTACATATTTACGTTACGACTACGGAGTGAAAGTAACAAAATTTCGTTTGCTAAACTATCAACTTTTGACTCGAGTTAAATGATTAAAGTTAATGTTAGTTTCAGTGGTAATTATCGGTTCAGCTGTACGTATTAAGTTTGAATAGATATCTTTGGTTTCTGTTAATAGCGTAGCAAATGGCTTCACTAGAGGACAGTTGACTGACACGAATAAAGTTAAACCTTTTGATATTTTCTTGACGTTCGAAACTGACTGCTGCTATTTGAAATAAATGATTTGACTTTGACTTTCACTTTGATTTTGCCTTTGACTTTGACTGTTAATGAAGCGTTACTTTAGCTCAAGTCTCGTGTCCACCTAAATAATAATAAGATATTGTGAGCTTTTTCTTGTCAGTGCAGTGGTTGGTTTGCCTCAGTTTTCACATATCGATTCCCTCCACGAAATTAAGTTCCCACCTAAAACGAGGTAGGCGATTAGGCCGGAACTGACCGGGTAGGCGGGGAACCATCTTAAAGCTTTTTGTCGGATTATTTCTTTAGAAGAAATTCAAAGGAAAAATGGATTATGATATTTTACTTCATAAATTACTTGTAGGATTTCTTTACTGTCTTACTGTGTAGGTGTTTGAATGTACTTCTTCACTGAAATTATCATATTTTATTAAGGTGTGATAAAAATTGAAATCCCATCTTTTTTTTTAACCACAACATTTCTATGCAAATTTAAGAGTTTTTTTTTGTAAATTATACGTATACGTACGTACATTTCTAAAGTATAAAGTTAAGTAAACTAAAGTATAGATGTTTGATTCAACTACAAACAATATATTTTACCGTCCCGTATTTGTTGTATACTGTGGCTACAGTACAGGTGCTCCACAACCGCGTGTATAATTGCCGCCCCATCCCTGCCTTCCCCTCTCTTCATAAGAACATAAATACATTTTAATATATAATACAAATGATACTTTTTTTGGGGTTTTCCTTAAGATAATACGATTAGATGTGAACATTGACAGAGAATATTCAGTGGAAGCGATAATAATTGTGACGCAATTTATTAGAAATGTACCTAATATGAGATTACTTTAATTTTTTATATTAATAGGACATAGGATAGCTTGAAGAGAATAAGAGTTATATAATGACTAGAAAACAGTATTATTAGAAGCAAACCTTAGTTGCAACAGACAAGAGAATAGATTCAGATAATAAGAAATAAAGAATAGATTCATTCCAGATCAGTTGTCGTACGCAAGCCCGCGGCTAAAGCAGGATTACGAACTCACTAGACAAATGTGGCTACTAAATTTAGATATTAGCAATACAATAGATGATACATATTATATTGGTAATTTATTTACATTGGCACGTTTCATCGGCCACCTGGGCTTCTAAGCTAAAACTATTTGGGAATTTGATGCGAGCGCCCATCGGCGTCGAGGAGGGATGCCCAATGATTTATGTTGACATCGATTATCGAGGTTAGTAAAGTTTTCAAATAGGGTGGATTATTACTATGTGCAATTTGCACGTTATTTTATGCCCATCTTTAGTACGATTATCACTGCTATTATGTTTATACGAATGTTTTTTTATACCAGATGACCTGGCACAACCGACTCAAAATAAATTAGTTTCTCTGACCTTTTCTTGTCATTGACGAATATTTGAAGACCAATGTTAGCCGAATTGCACCTGTCGTTCTCAAGTTTTGAGTCCCATTATCTAGAATGTAGCCTTCTTACACGACTCAAAGTAGAAAAATATATATGCGACTTGACAAATGTAGTGTCATGGGGAAACATTGTCAATTTTAGCAAATACTACAAAAAATGAAAAATTAGGCGTTGAAAAATTCTAAATATAAATAAATACGTTGAAATCAAATGAATTGTAGAAAATGGATGACTTTTTCAAGAATATTAGATCAACACCTATAAACATTGACAACATTATCAATGCGGATCCTATAATATCGGGTAAGTCTCTAGTATAAAGTCAAAAGGAAGGTGCAGTTCCTGCATCTCTATATATGTATTAAATACTTAGAAGACAGTTGACTTATCAATTTTGATCCAGTATCGGACAGACACTAACCTAGCCGATATGTACTGCACGCATGATATTTCACATTTTGTTATTCACTATTATCTAACGCATATCGTGACGCATGTTTACATATTATACTTTTGGGTAGCATAGCAGCAAGAGCAGACTGATGTCTTTATCGTCAATCAAATGGAGTGATGGTCAGCATTCGGCGTCGCCCATGGACCCCCACGTGTGTGCGTTTATTGCCGGTTTTTAGGGATTTGAGCTTTGGGGGTGATAGGGAAAGGGGCTCTTGTAACCTCTTTTGTAATATGATTTATAGGTAGAGAACGTTGGCATGAGGTTATGGTATAATACAGATATAGATAGATAAGAACATGAACAAATGCTATTCTGTGCAGAAGTAAAGGTTTACAAATATCCCCAAGACCAAACTAGGAGTTATTTCATCGTAAGATTTCACCGTTTAATATGTTACAGAAATAAAGATGGATGAAAGTAAATCACTAAAAGAAGTAGAGAATAAACCTGAAGATAATCTATGTCAACTGCCCCAAGGTGACAACATTAACCAACAAATCAAATATGACGAAAGTGTTTTACATGCACAAGATGCCGGAGAAATAAAGAATATTTTAGAAGCTAAAGAGGCAGAAGATTTAGTTTCACAAGCAAATAATGAGAATTTTAAAGGTGAAAATATAGATATTGTAGAAAATTCTAAAGACGATATTAGCATCAAAACTCCATGCATCGGTGAAATAGAGTTGGTAGAAAATAAACATGAAAGTAGTACAAAACCGATAGAAATGTCAAACGGAATAAAAGATACCAAAGATGAAGTTACACATTTCAGAAGTACAATATACGATTCGGTCATGATTAAAACAAACAGCTTACTTGAAATTGTTACTAATCGTTTTAATGGTCTTGTTAAGGAAGCACAAGGACCCAACGAAGAGAAAGGTACTGAGAGACCACCGTTTGTTACGTTATTGAGTATCGTTGATTAAAAGCAGACGTGCTTTTTCATTGTCTAATCAAACAAGTTATTACTGTAAAACATTTGAAATCAAACCACATCTGAATCCCAGTTAATTATCAGACATTCAAAGCAGCGCTTGTTGACTAGGAATATCTAATACAAATGAAAAAGACTCGACTTTGTAACACAAAATTCATCACCAATCATCCCCATCATAATATTGCACGTGATAATATACCATAACATATATATACTTAACAATTAAACAAAACTGAACTCCTTGGTATCTTTCATTCGAAAACCTGGGACATATTTTACCTAAATAGAGTTTTATTTCAGACAGGGTAATTTTTAGCAAAATGGGATCAATGCTGATATTATTATGTAAAAATTTTAGAGGAATGCAACTGATTTCTCGAAATCAGAAATTAAGATTCTTTCAGGATATTGCTTTATTTATTGTTATTAGAAGTATTAGGCGAAACATTTTAAAACCAAGATAAAAAAGGTTACAGAAATTAATATTACTTCAGGTGAGTACGTGAGCATGGATGACAAGCCACTAAACTACTTAATCGGAAAGTTTGATAACCCAGTAACTCAGCCAGTAGATGCTGAGGAACTCAATGAAAAACTAAACGAAATATCATTACAATCTCAAGCAGCTTTAGAAGAATTGAAGAATCAATCAATTAAGATAATTGATACAGCTAGAGCTCAAACAAATAAGGTAATCGAAAATGCTAGATACAACGTCAATATGTTCACTAAACCCCTAGAAGAGATACAGCATCAACAAAAATCAGTTGACGAGACATACGATGAAGATATTGAGAAGTATGTGGGACCTGGACTTGTAACAGATTTCTTTAGCTAAAAAACTTAGGCCAATAACAAAATTTAAATTTACTGGTTGTTACAATATTTTGTAACTTTTTAATTCGATAATAAATTGTTGGAAATATTTATGTGTTTGTTTTTACATTGAGCAGATTGTTCATATTTATTTTTAGGATGCTATCTATTACTGAAGAGTATTTCAAGAATGAGTACTTACACTCCCATGCGGGCCCTCTCCAAGGAAGGTTATTGGTCGCATGCGCCCCCGCGGGAAATCCAGCAGGGGCGCCACTCCGTTTGGGGGCTCGGCTTCAGGTAGTTTGATGGATGTGAAGAGGCCTGGAGCTGGCTTTTCACGGCGACAAGCGCGTTCTTCCGGGTACGTCTGCGAACAATACCATATAGTAAATTTGTGTGCTTTAAGCAATTTCAAGGCAGGTGTTTTGTTGGTCTAGCTGGGAATCGAAAGGAGATTTATCGATATCTAGGATCTTCTTATAATATTAACGGCTTAAAAAACTTATGATACTTCTCGAATATGTAATGGATATTTCTTGTTTTGCGGTTGCAGGATGGTTTTCAATCAAAGTATACACTATACCAATCGTATATTGATGAAACACACACAACTGATAGCGCATTTATATCAAAGACACAGGGAATAAAATTATATAAGAGAATTTATTGCATCGAGTTTCCACTAAATTGACTCAAGTCTTGTGTACATATTGCTTGTATGTGTAAACGACGTTGCACGGTACGTTTCTTGGGAACACCGTGACATGTCGAGGCGTCGAGGGATATAATATGATTGTCAGGAATTCCATCTTCAATCCCTAGTATATTTAGGAATATAGATCAAGCCTGTCAATAAATTCTTGAGCTATAGCAATTACTGTATACAGTTTTAAAATTGAACTTATTGTGACGATAAAGGTGTTTTGAATTTGATGGTATTAAAAAAATCAATAATGATAGTCTGTACATTTATATAAACTAAGTTAAACTTTTAACTCGTAAGAAGTAAAACTTTTTTATCTTTTATATTTGTAAATATGTATAAGAACGAAGTCACAAACAATGTTTCCCTTTCCAAAAGTTATTAGAGTGGAGTTATTAGTGGGAATATTGATCAATAGGTTCCTACATTGCGTTAATGTTCGATAGCACACACATTTTATATGTACCAGTAAATAACATTGTTCCTGCTTAATTGCTATTCCCCTTCCAAGATTGCGTTGCTATAATTTATACGGCACCATGAATTATTATAGTCGTAGGTGTATTATGTGTGTGGACTGCAGGTATTATGGCAACATTAATCATTTCCAAAATTATGACTGAACGTCTTTCTTTGATTTTTAAGTTTTTGCTGAGTCATCTACCTATCTGTTTTTGTTTTTTCATTTCTCTAATACCTAGCGATGTTTAGTTCATCAGATACGTCTGATTTGAAAATTTTGAATTGAGAATACATTAGATTAAACGATTAAACAACCTGTGAATAAGCTTAACACGTCACAAGAGGAATTAAGAAGACGGCATGCATTTGGCGGAATGTAACCGCGTTTGTACTTATTAACTAATACAAAACAAATGTCATTCGTTTTAGCAAGTCTGGTGTAAGCCGCCGACTTAGAGGCAAAGCCGTACAAAGCTATAGTAAAACATTAACAAAACACGATCGACCCCAACGAATCGCCGGCTCATAATACCTTCGTGTAGTCATTTATCATTTCGTAAACGACCGCGTAATACCCATAATGAGTAAAATCCAGGCATACCTTGGGCAATACCATTAATATTACAAAACCCGGTCTCTCCCCTTCAATGGATGTGCTCTGTATAGTTTGAAGACCTTTTCGGTGTATTTTGGTAAACTTAGACAACATACAAATAATTTGTAAATTTAAACCTCGATGCTTAGCTGAGTTGGACTGATGTACATCTGACGGTGGTATTCGATACTTTTTACGTGATGTTAGTAAGAGTATGTAGAACTATTTACAAATATGCAGTCAGAATGAGAAAGAAGTAGCCTATTGAGTATTTTATGGTAGGTAAGTTTGGTCCACAGTTAATTTCAGGTAGTTCGATGTAATATGTTAGAAAATATATTAAATAGATATTTTCATAAATTAAAACGATGATACCATGAAATACAACGGCATAAATTAATAATAATATTACAAAATAATGCTTCGGCACGAATGGGTCGGCTCGACCGGAGTGATACCACGGCCTCACAGAAGACCGGCGTGAAATAACCACTGCGTTGTGTTTCGCCGTGTGAGTGAGGTTACCGGAGGCCCAATCCTTCCCCTTCCCCAATCCCTCCTCAATCCCTAAATCTCCAAATCCCTAATCCCTAAAAGGTCGGCAACGCACTCGTAACTCCTCCGTTGCGAGTGTCCATGGGCGGCGCTGATTGCTTACCATCAGGTAATCCGTCTGCTCGTTTGCCGAGCTATTACATAAAAAAAAAAAAAAATTAAGTCGAATTGAAACTTGAAGCTTGAGTACATAAAATACTTCTCTCGTTATCTTTAAATTAAATCCATTGTACAAAATTATCCGCTTCATGAATCGAAAAAGTTAAAAGCCAATCAAAGAGTTGAGTACAATATGCCGTGAAATGGCCTTAATCAAGGAAATATAAAAAAAAACAACAATAAAAAGGTAAAAGACGGCGTTTGTGAAAGGTAAACTTTGCTGTTCACAGATGATTTTGTCGCTGTCTTTTGTTTATTTATTATATTTATTGATGTTTTTTTATTTTTTTTTATAAGTATTTTCTTGTAGAGTGAGGTATTCGCGAAAGTTTAACTTAACTTTAAATGTTATCACTATATGGTTCAGCTATGAAGTAAAGTGACGTGAAATGTAAACCATTGACAAAATCTATTTTCCACTATATCTCGTTGTATGAATTTTCATAACAATCCCTCCGAAGATAGTGTCAGACACACAGACAAAGCAATAAAACATTTTTATGGTCTAACCGCTGTGGGACTATAAAGAGACGAAGAGTATTTTACTATAACACACACTAGTACGATATGGATAGTCTTATTATAAAAACAACTTAAACCGTACTGCATCGAAACACGGAACACATTCAGTTATCATCATTTCTCTTCGGTACATAAATTTTATTTATGAGTAAATAGAATAAGCCGACGGCTATGCAAAGCAATCCATTATTTAATTCAGCTCCTGTGCGACACCCTTGTGGGTGGGGGTGGGGGTTACGGGACATGTGACATATTCTAGTGTCACACGGGGGTACTTACAGCAGCTAGTGTTGTGGCTACATGTTCCTGGGTGTAACTTGTTATAGAGTGCTTGGGAAGGCAACATTTTTGCACAATAATGATAATTATACGCAATCTTTGCAAGATGCTGATAAACAAATAAAAGAGTATTGAATATTGTGTGGAATATAATTGATAAAGGAGGAGGATTTTTGATTGACATATTTATTGAAGTTACTCTACTAGTTTCAAGCCACAACGGGACTCTTATTCATGAGCTTCTCATGCATTGAACAAAGTTGAAGGAAGGTGTAAGAAAGAGGTGATTATCAATTATAACAGTTAGCTGCATATTGTTCAATCATCTTTTAATGAGATAGTGAGAGACTGAAAAAAATATTATTACTCTTTTACTTCTTTATGCTAATACCGAGTAGAATCATAAGTTGGTTTACAATATGATGTTGAAAGGAAAGGGGATATACTTCCGATTATAACTTCGGGTTACAAAAGGAACTATGAATCGTTATTATTTCGGTGTATTATTACTCGCTGACGTTCCTCATTAACAGACAAAATGTTCGCAATCATAAAAACCCTATATTACTTACGAAACCCTCGTGTTATTAACAATTAATCCCCCCCTAAATGAAACCTGAGCCCCTCCCCTTGGATGACCCATCACAGGTATTTTTAATTAACTTTCAAATTAAACCCCTACTGGAGATCGTTTTTCATAGCTGGCATATTGTCATGAAATAATTTTAGCTAATTCACTGAACAATAAACAGGTAGATGCTGTAGGTACCTAATATTATTTATTTGCGTACTTTGGTATAATTTAATTTTAAATGGAGATATATTATGATTTATTAAATTTTACTTTAATTATTGCTTTAGAAAATTACTAATTATTTTTGGTACGAAAATATTTGAATTTAGAAAGTATGAGAAATAAATAAATATTTAAAAGTTTGGATAATATTGTTTTTTTTTTGTTATAAGTATCTGCGAATTTTAGCAAAGTTGCGAAAGGTTTTCTATTATGTTGGTACAAGTAGTTAAGTGTAATTACTATGGTAAAATATATTAAAATATTTGGCGTTCTATTGATAGTTGTTTATAAAAAGTCATTTGGTACGCATCATATTTGCGAAAACAAAAAAAGACCAGTGTTTAGTAACCATACAAAACTTTGTTTTGGGTTACAAATGAAATTATTCAAAGTAAACATTGGTTTTTGTTGAAACCAAGTTATATATTAAAATATATGTGTCTGTTAAATTGTGTTCATAAAATAAATGCGTATTTAAATATTCAATTAAAATGGTAGTAAAACACCCTCTATGTTAGTTTGTGCATAATTACTTTAATTTGCATTACCTATTTTATATTTTCACCACCCATGGTTGGATGGTCATTAGTTATGTATGGAGGTACTTAGAATTTTAATAAAAGTCTTAAATTTTTATCGCTTTTTTTAAGGGTCTCTGTGAGTCTACTGATGAGAACGAAGTAAAAAATTTCGAAGCCTTCACGAATTATTTCTATAACAGTACGTAGAGGGTATACGTAGAGGGTTACATCAATCTTATAAGAGACCTAGAGAAATGATGGTATAACATATTAGGTAAATGTGTACTTTTCACTCCAGTAGAATCCCCCCAGGAATAAAAAGGGGCTCTGTTATATAAACAACATTTTCGCGAAACATACTTTGTTTCACATGCAGGGGTGATGCATAGCACCGAAACTATTCGGGACCTATTAAAAGTCTTCCCAAGGAGGTACTGTTGAACTAACGCTAACTTCGGTGTACTAGTTCACAAAAGCGAGAAAACTTGAACACTATTCTGCCTACATATTTATGTATCATATACAAGTTTTAGATGTTATCGAATTCTTCTACTATTTTGCGCTCGTATGCTTGTGTGTGAAGAGAACTTGGAATTTGAACCAACTACAACGCAGGAGGCTCTCAATTCATAGGTGTATTTTTTTATTAAAATTTCCTTTCATTATTTTTGTTTGTATTTTTCATTTTCTTTTTAATTTAAATTCATAATAAGTTAGACTTGTTGATTTATTTCTAGCCAGCCCTAAGGCTATATTTTAACTTGCGAAGAGACGT